TAGCGCCATTTGTGTCCAAAAATAAACAATGTTGTGTTTTTATACTAAGAGCTCTTCTGTCTTTTGAAAATAAATGTTGTGTTGAAGCCAATTTTTTATTTAATCATAATTCTATTCGTTTTTGTTTATCTTTTTCATCCCCAGATATCAGATCTAGGCTACTCAATATTTTGATAACTTTTGTCTTTTTTTTTATTGTTCGTTTTGAAAAATGTTGTATTCTGGTTTCATCTAAGGACAAAAGTAAAAAAAAAAACAAAAAGAAACAGTAGGCCTACTATCCTGGTAAAAAATCAGTAGCCTACAATTGATCACATTACTTAACTATTGGGCAGTTCTTGAGGTCGGCACAAAAGCTAAAAACTTAAATATAAATGATTTGCTGATAAACTATTCACCCTTTAAAAAAAAAAATGCCTTGTGGGAAGGGGAAGAAAAGGGGGAGGGGGGGGGGCGCCTTACAGCACACAAAGTACATTTCGGTGTAAATTTTACTGATAGCCTCAGCAGTTCTTTGCTGATAAACTATTCACCCTTTAAAAAAAAAAAAATGCCTTGTGGGAAGGGGAAGAAAAGGGGGAGGGGGGGGGGCGCCTTACAGCACACAAAGTACATTTCGGTGTAAATTTTACTGATAGCCTCAGCAGTTCTCATCTGATATTTGCAAAGCTATTAATTGTGTGTTGTTTGGAAATATGATATTACATAATAGTAACATTATTGATGACGATAAAGCTTTATGTATGATAGGCTCTTACCTTTAAAAAAAAATTCACCATTATTTCTTATTGTTCACGATATTTAATGATTCAGGTATTTTAATGCGAAACCCGCGCCAAAAATTCACGTTGAACGTCAAAAAAACAAGCACAATTATTATTTTTAGAAGTAATTAGATTAAATTAAAGACATTTGAAAATAACTTTCACTTCACGCCGTGAAATTTAAAAATAAACATTTGCATAATTCCCTGTCATAGCCGCACACAACTAACTTCAAACGTGCAGGGCCGTGTGTTTAGCATTCTGCACGCTCGAAAAGCGGTGCGTAATTTGGAGATGTTCATTTATTTGTTGATTGTCATTAATTAAGAGATTGTCTGTTAAGGCACGACGGAAGTGACAAGGCCACATTAGCATGTCGTTCCTGCTGCGACTTTCATTCGTCAACTTGTCGTAAGCCACCGTCACGAACTGGGGGCGGCGTAACGCCTGAAATATGGCCTCGTTCTGACATCTGATCTGCGCCATGAACGGCCAACTTGTGCTGCTGTTTACCTTTCATCAATCAGCCTGGTCAAATAACTAAACGTTTCACATTCGCGGATGTACACTATAAATAAACTATTTTTATAATAGTGTTTTAGCAAACAACTATAATTTATGAATATTTTCTTTCATTCTTCATTAATTTTTTTTTTTTTTTTAAGTTTTTTTTACTGATTTGACAGAGTTACTTTTAGATTACGCGCGTTCTTTCTCGTACTTGACCTGTTTAAACGTCTTGTCTTGCCTAAAAGGAAAACTATTTCACTATTTCTTGTACCGAGCTCAATGTAAAACATTTATTTGACCTTGCCTCAGTTTTAAAAAAAATAAATAAACAGGATTTTTAAAATTTTTTTTTTGGGTGGGGGGGGGGGGAGATTTTAAAGATGGGGGAAGTCCAATATGCAGTATACTCCTGTACAAGCTGGAAGTAAATTATACTCATTCAATTAGGTCGTCAAATATACTCATGTAGCCTACAAGCTGGAAGTAAATTATACTCATTCAGTAATAGTATACAGTTAGGGAGTCAAATCATATTCTCATTACAATGATACATGTGAGAGTCCTTCTCGTTTGCATGAGGAGATTCAATTGTACTCATATACAGGAATTCAATATATGCCTTCTTTCCTCATGCTTTCACTCCAATGCTTTACCACAATTTTTAACATAGGCCCCATTAGATTTAACATACGCACCATTAGGTTTTACATAAGCCCCATTATGTTAACATATGCCCTATTAGGTTAAACATAGGCCCCACTAGTTGTAACATATATCCCTAGGTTTAACATATGCCCCATTAGGTTTAACCTAGGCCCCGTTAGATTCAACATAGGCTCATTAGGTTTAGCATATGACCCATTAGGTTCATACTTAGTTATTAGTTACTTCAATGGGGCATACATACATATTTTCATAGGGCCTACGTACACACTGCAATAGGGTCTACATAAACACTTTAATAGGGCCTACATACATACTTTAATAGGGCCTACAAACACACATTAATAGGGCCTACGTACACACTTTAATAAGGTCTACATATACACTTTAATAGGGCCTACATATAAACTTTCAAACGGGTCTACATACAAATTTTAATAAGGCATACATATACACTTCAATAGGACCTACGTACACATTTCAATAAGGGCTACATAAACACTCAATATGCCCTCTGTGCACATTTCAATCGGGCCTACATACACATTTCAATCGGGCCTACATACACATTTCAATCGGGGCTATACCTGCACATTTCAATCGGGCCTACATACACATTTCAATTGGGCCTACATACACATTTCAATCGGGCCTATAAATACATTTCAATCGGGCCTACATACACATTTCAATTGGGCCTACATACACATTTCAATAGGGCCTATAAACACATTTCAATCGGGCCTACATAAACATTTCAATCGGGCCTACATACACATTTCAATAGGGCCTATAAACACATTTCAATCGGGCCTACATAAACATTTCAATCGGGCCTACATAAACATTTCAATCGGGCCTACATACACATTTCAATCGGGGCTATACCTGCACATATCAATCGGGCCTACATACACATTTCAATCGGGCCTACATACACATTTAAATCGGGCCTATAAACACATTTCAATCGGGCCTACATACACATTTCAATTGGGCCTACATACACATTTCAATAGGGCCTATAAACACATTTCAATCGGGCCTACATACACATTTCAATTGGGCCTACATACACATTTCAATCGGCCCTACATACACATTTCAATCGGGCCTATTCATACACATTTCAATCGGGTCTATACATACACATTTCAATCGGGCCTATTCATACACATTTCAATCGGGTCTATACATACACATTTCAATCGGGCCTACATACACATTTCAATTGGGCCTATACATACACATTTCAATCGGGCCTACATACACATTTCAATCGGGCCTAAACATACACATTTCAATCGGGTCTATACATACACATTTCAATCGGGCCTACATACACATTTCAATTGGGCCTATACATACACATTTCAAACGGGCCTACATACACATCTCAATCGGGCCTATTCATACACATTTCAATTGGGCCTATACATACACATTTCAATCGGGCCTAAATACACACTTCAAAAAGTTTCTTTTTCTAACGCTATCAAAATAATTCATTAAACTGCTTGAACTGATCTATATTCTATAAATGTTGAAACTAGTTCTCTGACGCAAGTTAGACCAGTGGTTCCCGGAGTGTGACGAGAAATCGTTTTTTTTTGTTTGTTTGTGTGTGTGTGTTTTTATTTTTGTTAATTCAGTGTTTAAGTTCACGACAATTATACAACAGACCTGATGTAAATATGAAACTCACTCCGAAATATATATGTTTTCAGTATCCTCTCTAGATGGTTGCTTGGTGGTACTCTACAATAATAACATTTATGAATTAGTTTAATATGTCTACTTGTTAGAATTTTAATTAGGGCGCCTTGGGGAAATCTGGATTCTGCAAGGGCGCTGAAAATAGAACATTGTATCTTCAATGACAGACACGTCAATGAACGTCCTTAGATATAATATATCTGTGTATAGTGGAGAAGTCAAGAGTAAACATGTTACTTTTAGTTCAAGAAAGTGAAAGCGCATATTTAAAACACTAGCCGCTAGATCATAACCTGCAGACCGGGGAAAACCAGAAATTAGCACCCTCTCCCCCCCCCCCACCAAAAAAAAAAAGAAGAATATGTTGACGGGGAAAACCAGAAATTTACCCCCCCCCCCCCCCCCCCCCCAAAAAAAAAAAGAAGAATATGTTGAAACACACATTTTGTATGAAATATGACGATTTTAGCGGTTGCCACAAGAGCAGAGTGCCCCCAGATGCGGCAAAAAGCTTGGCCCACCCCGGGCGGCACTGACCTTAGCTACGCCACTGATTGGTGTCATCGCAAAGCTCAAAGATGTATTTGAAAGTTTGAGCTTGAGTACCCGGTACTGGCAACTGCCTAGATCAAATTAAAGCAAATTGATATAGTTGCAATAAAATTAAAATATTAGAATCAACTACATAATAGTATATTTAGTTTCTTTATTGCTTTGATTCCAGCACACATTCACATTGTCATGCCAGTTGCATTTCAACTTGATAGTTTAATCCAAGTAATTCTTTGAATCGGTCTTCAAACTCGAGTTTTTATCTTTCATGAAATATTAATTGTTATTCTAGACACAAATATATTTCCCTAACAAAAGATTTTATTTAATTAAAAAAATGACTGGGAAGATGAGTTCAGTTTACAAACAATAAAGAGAAAACCGAAGTGATTTTTACATTTCAAAGATTTCTTTCGGTTAATAAATTTTAAAATTAAAACTGACTGCCTCTTTTTAAATTATCCAGTTTCTGTTTTCTTGGTGAAAAGATTATCAGGGGCAAAAACCTCAGCTTCTTTTAAGCCGGATGGGTAGGAGTTACGTTTTTAATTTTACTAATTTTCTTTATTATAGCATATTTATTTATTTTTTTGTTTAGTCATTTAAATTATAATAAATTTAACAAAATATATCTTAGATGTTTCAAAATAATTATTTTAATAAATATATCTCAGATGGGTTTCAAGATTTTATTATTTTGTATTTTAGAATTTCCAAATTATTAGCTGGTTTAGCTTAACTGGCACATAGCGGAAGTCTGGGCGGCATCTTTAAACTTTTAACAATAATATTGCAGGTAACCTGGCCAAGTAAAAGTTTGGAACTTTAGTAAGTAGTAAATGATAATTAATCCATTAAACACGTTGATGTGTTTAATTTTTTAAAGATGAAATAATTTATTTGTCACACTCACTTTGTTACACTTTTACTTAAAAACAGGCCTGCTAAAAAAAAAACACTTAAATTAATATTAATAGGCCTACTCAGTCTTCTTCTTCTATATGACTATACTATACTATACTTATACTATATCATGGACCCACGAATTTATTGACCATTTTGGCTCCTATGTAACGTAAAGTGTAGAGGGGATTTGCAATGTTTCTGTGCATGGTGTTGACGAGGACATATCAATGATTTCCAGTTCCACTTTGTGAGTGAATTATGCGCTGGGGGTTTGAAGGCTTGGGCTTGAGGCAATAGACACAAATTTGAAACGAGTCTAGTTTTGTCGCCTCAACTGTTCTTTTTGATGAAAGGTTGTTCCAGTCCCTGATTGTCTTGGGCAGGAATGAGCAGCTCATATACTGGCTTCTTGCTGGTATGAGCCTGAAATGCCTGTCATGGCCTCGTCGCTGTCTATGGGGGAGAGGGGCGAGTTTCTGTTTAACAGTGGACCAGCCCATTATTTATCTTGTACATAATGGAGACCCTGGATTGTCATAGTCGTTCCTCCAATGGTGACCAGCCTAGTGTTTCCAGCATACTGCCAACACTAGAGGTATTCCTGTATGGGTTCAGGACAAAGCGAGCTGCCTTTCGCTGGATCGCCTCCAACCTGTCAATGCTCTTCTGGCTAAATGGGTCCCAGACTGAATATGCATAATCTAAAACCGGACGGAAAAAGGCTTTATATGCTCTTTCTTTCACACATGAGTTGCCAAATTTAAGATTACGCCTTAAGAACCCCAGGGTCTTGTTTGCTTAGTTACATACATTGTTAATATGCTCGTCCCAGCGGACCTCACTTTGAATGGTAACACACAGGTAGTTTACGGAGGAAACTGGCTCAAGTATATGGCAGTGCAGCTCGTATTGGTAGTGTAGAGGAGTACAACTTCTAGAGACTGATGAGGTCTGGCACTTGGCAGGGTGAAATTCCATGTCCCAGCGGCCAGCTCATCTCCCACTCAGCTAGCAGATTGAGATCCTGTTGTAGCTGGTCCTGGTCAGATCTGTTGGCGACCTATACACTGCTGTGTAATCAGTTAACAGTCTTGCTTGGGATGTCAGTTTCTCGGGGAGGTCATTAATGTATGCTAGGTACAAACAAGGGCCTAGCACTGTTCCCAGGGGGGACCCCTGACTTCACATCGACACAGGAGGAGCTTGTACCGTCAACTACTACTGCTTGGCATTGGTGGCTGAGGAAGCTAGAGATCCATGTTTTAGTGGTGCCTTGGATCCCATATCTCTGGAGTTTGTGTAGAAGCAAACTATGATTCACACTGTCAAATGCCTTTGCGAAGTCCATCACCAGCACGTCAGTCTGCTTGTGGTTCTCAAGATTTGTCATCAAGTCTTCTAAGCTGAGACTAACAAGGTCAACTCTAAGTCTAAGTAATCCAAGTCAAGTCTAAACTAATTAAAATAAGACTAGTTACTTTTGTAATTGGCAACAATGACATTCACTACAAAACTACCTCAAAAATGATTTAATAATAAGTGTGTCTGTACTTTTTTGCATTGAGTTTTGCCTATAATAGGGCCAGGGTGACCAAAACATGAACTGAAAAACACGGGACACACCCAAGGAGGGTTTAGAGGGATACCCTCCAGTTAATGAGGGGTCCGGGGGTCTCCGCCAGAAACTGTTTATAAATATGCTCATTTTAATTTTAACTAGGGGTGTGCCGGACCCCGGTCCGGAATCCGGTTCCGCCGGATTTTGCACTATCCGGTGAAATCCGGTTCCGCCGGATTTACATGTATCCGGAACAACCGGATTCCGGAATCCGGAATATACCGGATTTCGGAATTTGCCAGATTTTGTGACTCACCGGATCATAATCTGAAATAAAAGTAATTCTCTTTCCCGAATTTCACACGATCACGATACATTAATCGATTGTTTCGAGCGTTGAGCTTGTTTAATGTTTAATATTCCGTACATACCAGAGGCTAGAGTCAGCACCGCTAATAGTGGCCAATAGTGTAGGGACTTTGATAAGAAAATTTAAACTTTTTGTAAAAATAAACCAATGGCATAGTTGAAAAGATGTAATTTTTTAAAGAATTATAACACCAAAATCATATTTTTAGCTGTTGTAGTTTTAAAGTTATGAATTTTTAAAGTACGACTTGGTTTGTCATTTTTTAACATGGACTGCATCTCCACATTCTGTGATCTCATTCCACCAATCCCGTCATGCGCAATGACTATATAGTTTATATAAGGCAACGCATTCCCTGCCTTATCACTAAAATACTGTTTAGACTTAGTTTAAACTTTCAACTTTGGCACATGAATAATTAATTAAAGCTTTCCCTGACCAATGGTTTAATAGTTTTTGCACACGGCAAACTCTTATGAATGAAACTCTGAGGTAGTACTACGATACAGTTATGCAAGTGGCTGTGAATGGTTGCCAATGACAACGTGTTGCACACGGTAAATTCTGATCATTTATAATATGGATTCTACCGGGTTGTTAAAGCTCAAATTAAAACATTCCAGTTTAAATGTCTTTAAATGCATTCTGAAACACAAGTTATCAATTATTTTGATGTAAATAGTGATAATAAATTAATATTTCCTAAGTATCGTCAACTTCCGCCATTAAAAAGGGGGGCGTGGCCAACCCCATGGCGAAATTAGGTTGAGCGAGCTGCATAACCTGCTGCGAACGCGTAGAAACATGGCGTCTCTCGTAAGACACTTATCCAAATGGAACGGAACTCAAATATATATCGAAAGTACTAATTTAATAATAAATAGACACACACATCGGAAAATTAAAAACTCGGATTTTTTGGCGCCGATTGCGAATTCCCATACACAAAAAGTAGTAGTCCACCTTGACTTACCGAAGTATCTACCAATAGTACCAAAATCCGGAATCCGGGAGAAACCGGTATCCGGATCCGGCGGATTTCGCATAAGAAAATCCGGATCCGGATCCGGTTGGAAAAAACGGATCCGGCACACCCCTAATTTTAACTATTTTGAGACCTCTAAATCTTTTTAAATGTACCTTCACTTTTGTAATTTAATTTAAAGTCTGAGGCATATCATAAACAAAACCAATAATTTTGCAGTGTATACTGATTTATTTATACATATTTTTCAATAAAATACAATATAACAAATTAAATGCAATCATTACCTTAAGCCCACATCACTATTGGCACTGTCTACACAGATAGTCAAATGGCAAAATATTACTTGACGTTATATTTTAAATTAGGAAGTTTTAGTGATTTGAAAATGTGTTTGGTTTTAGAAACAAGACATTTAGGCGTCCCGAGAGACTTTTTCAGGACACCAGGTACGATCGTGTAAAAACGGGACAGTTGGTCACGCTGGCCTAGGACCCATTCACCCAGAAAAATATCGATAGATTGGAGGCGGTCCAGCGATGTCACATCACTACTGGCGCTGGCTACACAACTAGCCAAAATATTACTTGAAGTTATATATTTTAGGAAGTTTTAGTGATTTGAAAATGTGTTTGGTTTTAGAAACGGGACATTTAGGTATCCCAAGATACTTTTTCGGGACACCAGGAACAATCGTGAAAAAGCGAGACAATCCCGTTTGTACAGGACGTTTGGTCACCCTAGTCTATAATTAATTATTTTCAATTGATTCTATATACTAAATCTGAATCTGGTCACTGGCAAGCACTCAACGTTGAAAGCGTAGTAAGTGGCATGGGGTTTGCCCTAAACGCAGTGATGTCATTGGACATTTTTGTTGAGGGATCCCAAAACTGGACTTTGGGCTAGGGTGCATAGAATAGTGAAGTGGCTGCGTCTATTCAGACCCAGGATTCAAAAGTGAGAGGTTGGGTTTATTAAAATATATTAAAAAAATTATTGTAGGGTTTGTAAGACAAATTTCGGTATCAAATGAAAGATAATTGAATGGACTATATTTTTTAGTTAAACTGAAGAAGTAAGTTTACAAACATGTAGTCTTATGGTCCATTAAATTATGCGTACCCAGGTCCCTTTTGACTAAATTCTATTCGGATGCCATTTTTGGTAGTTTATTTTAGTTAAACTGAAGAAGTAAGTTTACAAACATAAACTACCAAAAATGAAATCAATATAGCATTTAGTCTTAGTCTAAGCAGTGGTTCTCAACCTTTCTAATGCCGCGACTCTTTAATACAGTTCCTCATGTCGTTGCGACCCCCAACCACAAAATTATTTTCGTTGATACTGGATAACTGTAGAATATATGTGTTTTCCGGTGGTATTAGGCGACCCCTGGGAAAGGGTCATGCGACCCCCCCCCCCCCACCGGGGTCGCGACCCACATGTTGAAAACCGCTGGTCTAAAGGGACCCAGGTACACTTAGCCGCTATTGCGCGGCTGCTATTGAAAGTGGTGGGGGGGGTGTTCCTTAGTAAATGTTCTAGGGCAGAAATTCTTAACCTCACAACATTGCAACCCTTCTCAATTTCAAAACATTCCCCCCCCCCCCAAATAAATCATTATGAATCATATTGTAATTAATAAATATAGTTAAAATGATAATAATTATACTGCTGCTAATCCAAATGCATTTTTTTTAAAAATTAGCAATGGCATCAAATACAATTTTCTGTCATCCGCACCTCAAGGGGTGCTTAAACTGCTGGTTAAAAACCACTTTTCTGGGGAAGTGTTTCTGATACAAGTGCAGTAGTTCAAGTAACAAGGTGTAATTGAAACTATTTAAAAGTAAATCCTTGCTGATATCCCGAGTGGAAAACGTAAAATATATATTCACGCATTAATAAAAATGCTGCCTTTTGAATTATTTTGAGTGGTTGAAAAAAGAAGTACCTGTATGCTATTCATACCGTATCTATCATTGTCACAAGAAATATCAACTTAGTTTTCTGGGGACTGGACATCCCTCCCCCCACTTACAATACAAAAATTAGAAAGAAAATAATTTCTAAAGATGGGGGACCCCTCCCCACTTTAAAATTTTTGGTTTAAAAAGTGTGATCTATCCGCAACTATATAGGCCTACAGAATACGGTAGGCCCTAAAATAAAAGGCTTGGCTTAAGTTTAAGCAACGCTATATTGCAGTGTTTAAATGATTGCACTAATAAATCCATAATATAGTCTAATTCCCACCTATGTCAAGGCTGTTCGGTCAGAAGCTGAAAATGTGGAATAGCATCATCTTTAACTACTGGTACTTCAAGAAGCCTCCCCACAAACAACAGTGCAAGCAATAGTTAATTTATGGTTTTGCCTAGTCAAATTAAACATAGATGTCAAGTCAGGGACTTTTCAAACTTGTCTTACAAAGACAGTTTTACAAAGTGAAGACCAAGTTTTGGTTTCCATATGCTTTGACCCATTGAGGAAAGGTGCTGTTCGCAGAATTGTTTGAAATGTTCAGATAAGTTAATTTGATGTTTGTTACCTGTTAAAAACTGCAGTGTTAAGATTCTGTTGGAAATTATTTCTGAGGGAGAATTGCCAGGCTTTATGAAAGGTTGCATAGATAAAAATAAATACATTAAACAAATTTTATTATAGGTGTTCTTTTTATTGTGATGCAATGGCTCGAAGAGAGGTTTTGTCACCTTTGACAAATACACCATTTACTCCATTGCGACAACCATCAACAAAATATGTCTCGCCATCTACAAGCCGTGTCATTGGCCTTGCAAGTCCTGCTTCTGTTATGGCTCACTTTCCAGGTAAAATCCTTAATAGTTTTATTTTCTGTGCTATAAATTTAATGATTTTTTTTTTGTTTAAAACAAATCTAGCTAAAATATTAATATTAGAATGTAAAGAATTTGAAAACAATTAAATCATTAGAGTAGATTGAATTTTCATTAGATCATAGTTGGCTTTCTTAACTTTCATTTATTTTGTATTTATCTATTACTTTACATTTACGGTAACACAGATCAGGATGAAGGCCGACAAAGACTGGAAAGGAGGAGAAAATCTCAAGCCTTTGATTTTCAAAGGAAAAATTTAGGAAGTCCAAGTTCGTCATCACCAAAGTAAGTAAAGAGCTTCATCTGTCTCTTGTAATATTTTATACATTATTTAGTTATATATGAACACATTTTCAAAATTTCAGATTTCACTTTTAAAAGTGAAGTAACTTTTGGTTACCGGGTATTCCAATTTATTTTAATTTTTCCCCAAAAACAGTGACGTACTAATCTTAGTTCATGATTTCTGTACCAATTGAACAAATATTCATTAAAAATTTGAGGAATTCATTAAAAAATTTAAATATTTATTGTCAAATAATTTATTATAATGGTTCACATATGTAGCATCACTAATCCCAAAACATATGGTTCCTAAATAAAACATGCATACTACACAGCTATTTTAGGATCTGAAAATTATCAGATGGGGAAAAATGTCATCTCTATTTTATTGTTATAGTAAGCCCTCAGACGTTCTAAATGGTTTAACCAGCACACAACTTGCAAACCATTATGCAGACTGTATAAAGCTTTCTGCTGAAAATGTAAGTAGTAAAAGATATTGAAATTAAAATTCCCCTTTTTGTTTGGGTGATTGATAATATGTCGTTTTGAGTTATTGTAGGCAAACTGCAATAAAAAAAATATTGATAGTTTCTCTGGTAAAGTAATATCTTTATAAAAATATTTCTTTGTTTGCTTGTTATTTTCAATGGTTTTACATTTTAAAAAAAAAAAGTGATCGCTAGTAAAACTTTTAGATTGAATTGGGATTTTTCTCACAGTAGTAAGCATAGGTTTGTCATTTTTTTTATTGAATGTTCTTTGTAATTTTTTAAGCTTAAATCAATTTTGCTTTATAAACTACATATCCTTTTAGAAAATCAATGCAAAAAATGCATTTGGTCTTCATTTGATTGATTACATGACAGAACTTGTGAAGAAGAAAGAGATGGAAAACTTTCAGGTAAATTGTAAAGTTTTTACTTAACATGAGAATTGCATGTGAACTCAGTGTATCTACATTTAAAGCAACGGCAACTGATATTTCGTTTAAAATCTATTTTCTAAAAGGTACTATCACCTTTATAAAATTACAAGAACAATTCTTTGTTCATTACAGTTTTTTTCCCCCCACTGTCAAAGTTATATAAATTTATATATATATATATATATTATTTTTTTTAGATCTATGAGCAAGGAGAGAAATACAAATAAAGTTGATCACATTAACAACTGAATTTTAAAATCCCAACAAAACGTTTTTTGACTGCTGAATTATTTGAGAATTATTTATTAAATCTTACAATTAAAGTCTATTTTGCTCTTATAACCACCTTTATCCAAGCTTCATGTTTCATCATGTTCTTGTACAACTGTTCTTCTAGATTCTTTCTTATAACATATTATACATCAGATTGCTTTCACTAAATTCTCTTGTCCAGAGTGTTGTTTTTTTGTTTTGCTTCAAAACTTTAGCATTGAGAATATTTTTGTGTTAATATATTTTGTCTGCACATTTATGATCGTGCTGTTTGTATGAAAACTAAAAATGTCCATATCTAAAATGTAAACGACACTGAGCTGAAAATAAATGCATCTAATTAAAAATTGCTGCAGAGTCTAATGTTAACTTTCCATATTGTTTTTTTTAGTGGCCAAGACAAGCAGGACAGATTTGATAAATATTGAATCTATATACCTCGGGTATAATGCATGTATTGATACTAAAGTTAATCTTTTCTATTGATATGATATAAAAATCCTTTACTCTCTGCTAAAAGTATTAATTCTATTTTAAAGGTTGCTAGCTCTACTCTTGATGCCAGTGTCAAAATTTATGCTGGACGAGTTGACTTTATACATACTCACACATACAAGGTTCTAAGTGGCCTAGGTGGAGGGAAAGCAACAGAAGAGGAAGGTATTATTTCTTTTCCTTTATACTTGTAGTTGTGCATGCTTTTCATTAATGCAGTTAAGATCTAATTTATTTTGAGTCACTTCTGATTGGCTTCTATTTCTTCTTTCTTGTCTTGAAAGTTTTAGCCGTTTAATTAAAGTTCATAAAAAAGATATGTAATGATGTGATTGATACCTAATTTAAACTTTTAATGCATTTTGTTTTGTACATATGTTTAGTATATCGTACATTCACCCAAGGAACTAAAGGTTATTCATCAAAATATACTTTAGAAAATTCAAAGATTAACTCTGAGCTCATAGCCTTTATTTTTCCTCTCTCATCAGCAGTGTGCTGATAAAAATGAAAGTTAATTTACTTTAAAATCTAAATTGACCAAAGCATAATCATATCAACACACTAGTCAGCTTCACACCATGCTAGAATCACTGAGTAGTGCTCAGTGCTTTAAGTTATAAATGTAGTTAATTTTATATGTTTCAATCTTGTCTGTGTTAAATGAAAATCATGATTTATAATATGTAAGTTAAGGAAATAAGGGAAAATCTTGCAGGGGTCAGAGTTTAGAAACCATTTTGTTTTGATTATATTTATTTTTTTTAAAAAGACTGTAATAATAATATTTAAAACAGAGCTCATGTCACAGTGGTAATCAAAGCTTAGAAAGTCTTGTTTACTTAACACATGTATTTTTAGACTTATACTGTAATTTAAACGTGATTAGATTTATAAGAAGTTCTGATAAAAAAAATCAAATGTATTTCTAATAACCCCATGCAAAATATAATTGAAAAATTCTGAGTTCTAATTTACATAAGACAAATAATCCCACTCTATTAAAAGGGCCTAAAATCTGGCACAATCAAAAAAATAAGGAACTTGGAAAGGGGGGGGGGGGGTATATATAAAACATACAGTCAATTTAAATTCAATTTAATCTCAGATTAAAAAATTTCAATTTAACCAATAAATTTGTTTAAAAACAAGATATTTGTTATTAATTTTTGTTCAGTTAACCAAGGATACTTCGGGGTATGAACATAAGGCATATGCCTGTACACACACTCTCAACGGCTCAGTAGTACTTTGGTACTTTTTTTATGATAGAAAAACGCCAAAAGTGTAAACATTTCTAAGGCTGCAACTAGGACAGATTCATTGAATTTACATTGATTTCAATGGGGAAAATTTATTTTTGATTTATGAACATAGCCTTGGAACATATTATATTGGTTATTGAGGCTCCATTGCACATTTATGGGGGGGGGGGGGGTTAGGAGGGAAATTGGGCTGATTTGACTTTTGTTGTTTTTTTCCCTACATAATGTATATAAAAATTTTTAAAAAAGATAAATTTTCATTGTATTTTTTTATGAACATAGCCTTGGAACATATTATATTGGTTATTGAGGCTCCATTGCACATTTATGGGGGGGGGGGGGTTAGAAGGGAAATTTGGCTGAATTGACTTTTGTTGTTTTTTTGCCTACATAATGTATATAAAAATTTTTAAAAAAGCTAAATTTTCATTGTACGTTTTGCGTGGAGTTCATCTGATGTCCGATTTTCTATTAAAAAATATATTTATTTTGTAGAAACTGTTGAGGGTGTTGAAGAGGGTGCAGATGTCAATGAAATGGATACAAAGCAAAAAAAGAAACGAAAGGTTAGTTTTAAGGATGCAACTTTTTATTTTAATCTGACTAGTCGCTTGAATCCATGCAATGAGCCATATTTTCTTTTTACATTTTTTATTTTTAGGTATGTTTTCCCCTGTTTCAGGTAAATAAAATAATTTTTAAAAAGGAATTATAGTTTTGTTTAATTCTTGAAACAGGTAGCAAAAGCCCACACCATAGAGACGAATCTTAAAAATATCAATGTGGACAAGTTTGACCTTGAGTTTGAAGTGGATCCAATGTTTCAAATCATGTCAGCCGCCTTTGATGAAGGTGGGGCACGAGGACTTTTATTGAACAGACTTAGGACTTTTGATGATTCTCAGCAGCTTGTCCTGGATTCATCTACAGTCATAAATCTTGTTCAAGACAACATACCTGATTCACAGCACAAAAGGAGACCAGTATCTTTGGCAGATGTGAAAGGTTACACTCTAGCTCATAGCAATAAATATCAATACATTTTGTTCATCTGAGAAATATGAAGCACTTGGTAGGTGAAAATTACAGCAATGTTTTCTGCCAAAAGCCGACTTTATACAAAAAATTTAAAGTAAAAATAATATTTTAAAATCTTTTGGTTGTCATTGTTTATGTTGAAGGCCTTGGGCTGACTGACAGATTCATTGTTTATGTTGAAGGCCTTTGGCTGACAGATTCATTATTTTATGTCCTTTTTTAAATGCTCACATACCAAGGACAATTATTTCTTTATTTTCCATCTTCATTGTCTCTCCTATATCATTCTAATCTGTATTTGACTTAAAACATCTGGCTAATCCCACTTCTCTTCCTTTCCCAATAGAAAAGACAACTGGTTAAGCAGGGAAAATGGTCAATTATGAGTATTAAAAACAAGTGATTTCAAACATTTTTAAGAGTTAGAGAACTACTGAAGATGATAAAACTATATTTAAATTTGAAGCCTTAAAAAGGGCAAAAGTTTTTTGGTTTATTTAGTCGGAGCACCTTTTGTTTCAATTTTTATAAATTGTTACATTAACTTAATTTTATTGTTTAAATAAAAAAAATTCATTTTCAGAATTACTGAGTAATTTAAATTTAGATGGCAAGCATATTTGTCCCTCATTGAAAGACTTCCACTTTACAAACTGGAACGGAGAAGTAAGTGCACATATTCAATGAACGTTGCTAATTTTCTATGCTTAATGCTTGTGTTGATATTGGTCATTCTTAGCTGACGCAGTAAATTTTGATGGATTATATCATGCTGTGGGAAAATAGATTCGACTTAGACCAGTGGTCTAGAATATTGTCACAAATAAATTATTGCAGTGTGACTTTGTCTTATTTTTACCACTTCACAGATTCATTAAAAGGGGCTCTAAAATTGATGAACTGAAGAAGAAAATATTTTTGGTCTTTATTTAAATTTAATTTTGAAAAATATTGTTGTGGTTTTATTTTTTTTTGGTTTTTTTTTTTTCACAATTTAAGATATAATTTAAAAGCTTTTTTCTTTAATTTTTTTTTCAACTAGATTTCGGAAATTCCCAAAGGTGAAAATATTTTTGGTCTTTATTTAAATTTAATTTTGAAAAATATTGTTGTGGTTTTATTTTTTTTTGGTTTTTTTTTTTTTCACAATTTAAGATATAATTTAAAAGCTTTTTTCTTTAATTTTTTGTTCAACTAGAGTTCGGAAATTCCCAAAGGGCTCTCCGAGTTTGCCTTTGACCCAACAGAAAAACCCCAACATTTACCCAGTGTTGAAGAAGAGATGGACGCCATTGCACATGAAGAGATTGATGATATGGATGTTCCAGAGGATGAACAGCAGGGTAATTCTAATGCTATCTACATAGTTGTTTGAGTTTTAAAAAATAATAATGAGGGGTCTTAAATAGCGCGGTACCCCAGCGTAGGGCTGGGCTCACCGAGCTGTACATAAAATGCAAGTTTTAAACTTTTAACACATGTAAATTCTTTAAACAAACATTAATATTTATGCTTTTAAAAAACTGTCAATGGAACTAAAAAATAATTTATTGAAAATAAAACTTTTAAAAATCCCTAATTCCAAAGATATGATATTGTTCACTTACTGAAATGATGTAATTGTCATGCTGTCAAAAAATGTAATAAGAAATTTATCACATTTTTGGGAGGATAAAAACTCATGAGTGTTTTTGAATTTAGATTTTGGCAACCAAACCAGAGACCCTAATGGCTTGTCACAAATGAGTTCCAGGACAGCTATTGTTTTTGAAAGTGCATGCAACGACCTCTCGTGAGTAAATTTACTTAAATCTATTTAATTACAATCACAGTAGTGTATGTGTATTGACATTTCTTTACAACTTGTACGTTCAAGAATCTGCTTCCACAACTATTTTTTATTTAAAGAACTGAATAAAATAAATCTTTATCACATTCCAGAAAAACTCGTCAACTTTTAGCAGATAAGCCATCTGAGTTTTCCTATTTCAATAAAATCTTAACAAGAACTTGGGCCGGTCCGGCTCATTGGAGAATAGCCCCTATATCTAGAACAGGTACTTATCAGTTGTATGATTTCTTACAATATTTTAGCCATTGTATTTATATTTTAATAATCTAGTTAGTGATGCTGTCATAACTAAAAAAAAATGTAAATGTATCCTGAATTTTCTTAGCGCCCACTGAGAAAGTGGTAAAGAAACGACAAAGAAAGCTGCCGTTGGTTCTAACGTACGACACACCAGAAAAGAATCTAGACAAACTCTTTGTTATCTCAAATGCTACACAAATCTCAAAGAAGACATGGTCAGGATATACCATAAAAAAGACCACGCTTCCAGAGGACAGTATCCACTCACGAGACCGGCTTTTCTGTCTCTTCCACAAACCACATGTTATGGTCAGTATGGGAGATTTCATTACTAATTTACAATTAGTTCCATTCAAGATCAAGAACATTTATGGGTTTTGATGAGTAGCAGGGTCTCAACAAATTATTATTTTACTAGGGCTTAAGCAGTTGCAATTTTTTTTACACCGGGTTCAGGTATTTTGAGAAAATAGTCGGTGAAGAGGTGACCTCTCATTTTCTATAATATGCAACAAAATCCATTGCCCTAAGTTGTAGTGAGAGTATATTGCCTTTGTTATTCGTTAGTGTCAAGAAATAACTCACTGATAGGAACAGTGAACAGGCAGTTTCTGCATGACAGCCTTTTTTTTTTACTCAGTACTATTAATATAAAACATGTTGAGTAGGGGAAGGGCCGGTTGTGAAAGGGAAGCAGGACACACCAGAAGCAAAATATATATAAGAGAATAGAATAGATCGGTTATAGTCAATGTTTCCTTTAAGATGCGCGGCCGCACAGTTATCTCACAGACACCACTCAGCAGTTTTGAGTATCCGCGCAGCAAATTTTATAAAAATAATTTTGAACAAATACGCTGCTCTCTGCAGCCGGAATTATACAGTTTTTATAACAAATACATCCATGTTTTAAATTTGATTCAGATCTATATTTTTGTCTTCTACTTTATACATAGAACTATTGATTCACATACTTTCCAATACATACCGGATCAAGCTAGCCTTGTTCTGAACCACTGACACTATTCATGTACATTTCATGGCTCATGCTGCGCAGTGAATGTGTATAAATAAATAAATCGCATATGTCCAGTTAATTATAAATGTAGTAGTTGCTAATTATTTTTAATAATTTTATACCCGTTATGTCTAAACATCAGTTAAGCAAACTGTCAGTGTCATTGCCTGATAAGAAGGGGTGTAGGTCAAATTTTAAAATGAAATGGCTCGATGAATTTTTGCATGCAGCACTATCAGATTCTTCATCAGGGCGGAACAAGCTGGATGATATTTTTAAATATCGTGAAATTGGTGATGTTTGTGGGCTGTAAAATTTTGCACAAACAAAATTGCTACTGTAAGACTTTGCACACAACTGTATGATTTTACACACGAACCAGCAAGCCTTAGAACATTGGTTATAGTACATATTTAAACCCTTCAGTTGTTTTAATATATTTATATGTGATCTTGATACCAAGTGTAAATGAAACTAAAACGCCTATATAAAATATGTATTTATGTCAATAAGTTATTTATTTATGTTTAACATGTTTATATCAATGGCCCAGAATTTAACAGCATCTTCAACACAAACAAAATTTAATCTCTGATTATACATTGTATCAAAATTGTCTAATTTTATTAACATTTCTACTTCTTTAATATTGTATGTAATAACATAATTTCCAGTTTTTGCACAAGTTCATTGCCTATATTTTTGTCTGGTCTTCATCAAAGTGCTTGTTGATAAATCATCACTTTTCTTTTTTACTTTTATTTCTTTTTTTCTTTTTTTACACCTCTATTCTCATTTCTGTTTGTTTCCCCAACTTTTTTCAGGTCAAACAACAGACTGGAAGTTCCATTGGCGTTGACGATGGCATCGATAACTATGATTACAACAATAAGAATGATGTTGAAAATTTTTGCCCTGTAGCTAGGGTAAGTTAATGTTGAATTGGTTTCTTACTTTTGCACCATTACCAGGGATGGCGGCCTTATTGCGTGAACTTCCCTCCTACTAAAGTTACTCGACAAAACATGCTCTTACGTAGCGCACTTTACAAGATTCCCAATTAGTGCACTGCGTAAACTCTAAAGAATAAACAGTAGTCCATTCAATCTAAGCTGTGTGGAAATTTGATTTGGGGTTTTCAAATTTCAAGTCTCGGACTAATTTGTTTTCACAAATGTTTTATTTATGGTTTTCAGGAAGACGATGATGATGGTGATTTCTCTTCTGGTGGATTCGATTTGTCTAATGAGACACATTTCCCACAAGCATCACAGGATAGTTTATCTCAACACAGTGCTTTTTCGAGTCTTAATGGTACAATCCTAACACTGGACAAACTAGTAGCAGCCCCTAATAAGGTAGTTATTTAAACTTTTCTTTTACCTGTATATAATTCATTTAGAAGGATAAAAATCTGGAAAAAGTGTTATACTGTTGAAATTTAACTTGATATTGTGACATACTAATGTTTAAACTGTTTTCTGGCAAAAATGATCTTTAAAAAGTATCACAGTTAATGCTAGTAGCTAGCCTAACATTAACATACTGTTATATTATGGTATGTGTTGTAAATTTACTTCCTGGGTGAAGAATCTTTCATAATATTATTAAATATTGGGCTGATATCTTACCAGTTGTGTCTTATCATCACAATGGGATTATCACAGTGACAAAAGTAATCCTTTCAGAAGAGTAAGATCGCAACAAATGACTTTTTGGCCTACTGAGATTCTGTGTTTCATATTGAAGTGTTTTGTCTTAATAGTTCCAAACATTGCCTAATATTTTCCCTATTACTAAGTATTACCTTAACCTACTCCTATATATATACTTTGTTAAAAAGAAAGTCATCTTTTTTAAAGTATCACAACGAATGATTTAATCTTCATAATATTTATACATATGGATATGTATAGAATAACATTTCAAATATGAACTTGAAAAATAGTACATATTTTTACGATGGCAATAAGGGGAGCTACTGCAATCAGGTTAGCAAAAATGGAATGAGTAAAACAAAGTATGGGAAAGCCTGGAAAAAAAGTAACGCAACTGAACAACTAACGTTTTGGCAGGAAACCTTCATCAGGGAACAAACAGTAAAAACGGATTGAAATAAAACTAGCACTTAGCTGAAAAGTAGTATCCGAGAGGGTAGTAAAAGAATTCTTTTTTACAAGTGGACTGCTATCACCATGGTCAACAGCCCACCCATCGTTAGCATCAACTGATGTTATATTTGTTCTAATTTTGAATCAGAACCATTTTGAACCATAGGATCCTTATCACTGTCATTAATTTTGAATGATTCCACATGGATCATCTAAGCTTGTCAATAAACTTCTCCAGTAAACTTTAGCAGTCATGTTATATTATGGGAGTTTATGGTGCCCTAAAAGACCATACTAAAGCAGTGCAATGGGCAGAACTGTCTGAGAGGACACAAAAGAGCATGATATTTACTACTGCTTTAGTTCTTCAGCCTACATACTTAGAAAATTATTTAAATGACATTTTAAGTGGTCACCATGCCTTTTTAGAGCTGTCCAGATGCATTATGTACAATTGATATGGTTTGTAGTTTGTTGGCATTGTTTTCATATGTTCAATTAATTTGGCTTGAAATCAACTTCCAAAAGGTTCAGAAAATAGATATTAAGTATGCTAAAACAGCAAAGATGGTGGACGTTCGAAAGTTAAAGTCAACCCTATGGACTATTTTAACTAAAGATAGTCTGGAGGAGGTCAGTCAATAAATTGTTTTTAATTTATTTATAATCTTGGTTTTAGATTGTGTGTGGCCAAAGCATAGCTTGTAGAGATTCAAAAAGTAAACAACACATTATTATTTTAATTTTAAAAATATGAAAGGAAGTTTATGTGGTACTTACATGGCTGCTGCTATCTAGATCACTGTCTTATTTGAGACATAAACTGAATCTAAGCAAATCATAAATTTTATGTATTACAAGTCAAATTAACTAGTTAAGTTATTTACCTTTTCATGGTAACTTATCAACTCAGCTTTGCAAACAAAATAATTACAAACCTGGTTATTCTTACTATTTTGCCTACAATGTTCTATTTTGAGATGCTTTTTTTTTTAAAAGTGTAAAATGCACTGGTGTAGCTTGGGTTATCGCTGCCCCCTTCCCAAAACAAAAACTCTGCAGTTGGCCTAAAACAGAGATCCTCAATTTATAGAAAAAAATGTGCCACCCAAGGCTTCCCCCATCCTTCCTACAACAGTGGTAAAATAATTCAAAATTATATTTAGGTATATGGAAAGGGCATCCCTGCATCTTGAATTTATTTTTATTTTTTATTCTGGGGAGGGGCTCAGCTTTTCCACCCCATCTCCATCTATCAAAGTGGCAAAAACTTTGGTAAGTGACCATTTATAGACATATGATGCTAATAGTTATTGTATGCATTATAATGTACAATTTTGAGTTTATAAAGTACTATTCTTAAATTTTGGGAGTTCCAGGGTAACCAGGTCTGTAATTACAGAAGTCAAACTATTTGTATATTTACTTTTAGGGATCTATTTTGGGACCAAAAATAACATGAAAATGATAAAATATATTGATGGTTTCCATAGGAATGTGTTAGCTAATACTACTAATAGTCATGTTATTTAGAACTAACAGAAAATGGTATGTCAATGTAATTTTGTTGTCTTTTAAAGCAGACAAGTAATGGGTCCTCAAATGAAGCAAGTTCTACTACAGAGACACTACAACAAATTGCTGTGCCCAGTAAATTCAGCAAACTCACTAATACGCTACCATCAAAAGTCTCAACAAGCATGGCCAAAAATCTCACCATTCAAACAGTATTTGCCTGTTTACTGTACATCACAAATGAAAAGGTTTTTATTAAGTTTAACTTTTAACATGTTTTTTTTTTTTTCTAATTTGGTGATTATGGAGCTAAACTTAATTAAAAAACATAATTCACCACTTGTCAAGTAGGGCAATCTTTTTTTTTTTTATTATGATATCACTACCTGTACTAAAAACATTGACTTGAATTCATTTTATAATTTACATGAGTTTTTTCTCATAAAAGAGATAAAGATTACACCAATTGTTTTCATCAATAAATTTTACGCAATATGTTCCAGGCTTAATTTTTGTACCTAAAAAATGGGAAATACCCGGATTTTAAGTTTCTAAACTTTAATTTCTTATTAGAAACTAAAGACTACCGGTAATACATTTGGACATGGATAAAGTTTTTAAAAATCATTATGTTAGTTGCCATGAAAATAACAAGCAACATAAAAAATTCTGATTATACATAGGAGCAGCACACAATAGTTAAAGACAAACTATACTAATAAATAGATTTAAAATGGAAACAGATTCGCAGGATTTAATCAATACCCTGAAATAATGAAAGAAATGAGCCTGGGCCAATATTGTCGCATCAGTCTTGACTGATATGAACTTATTTAATTTTTGTACCTTCTATTCCCTTCTTAATTCTGTACATTTTCAGATACCCCTTTTTTTTGCATACATGCAAATAAGCCCTTAATTTAAATTAGCGATGGCTTGTACAGTAGATAAGTACCAAAAATAAGTCTTCAGACTCATTGGATAGCCACTTTTTTTTTTATTGACCAAAATATGTTAATTTTTTTTTAGATGCTATTGACAATTGAAACTGCCCTCCCCCCTATATATACTCCTCCTCCCTCCCATTTTAATTTTTAAAATCCTTTTGAATACAAAGGAAAATATTTGTTTAAGTTGCCAATTATGAATCTAAAATATTAATATAAACATTTTCTTTTACAGACACTGCGGCTTTCTGGAACTCTTGAAATGGATGACATCCATATAGAACAAGACAGCTAATTGAAGTTTTTTTATTTGTAGGATTTATTTAACCTAAAATGTAAACAAATTTGTATATTTATAAAGATTAACTTAGAAAAAAATTTAGTTGTATGGGTTACATCCATATAATTTTTTTAAAATGATGCTTTGTGTTTGGAAAATGTTTATTTTAATAATGGAATGAATTTATATAATTTATACACTAAAATCTAAGTCCATTCTGTCTTGCTTAATTTCTGTGTATCCCTACTCTTCTTCTTCTTTTAAAAATTTTTTTTTTATATACCGGTACAGAACTTTCTGAAAACTCAAGATATCAGTTCTTCACTATCACTTCAACTTAACACTTAATTAACAATGGCAGCTTAAAGTTTTGCTCAATGTGTCAAATCAATTTTTGTAGCTACAATGTAATTTATATCCTGTGGAGCACGAAAAATTGCTCTGATAATATTCATCTTAATGGAAGTAAATTTTTATAACATTTCACACAATATTTTACCAAATTAAGGAGGGTGAATAAATGTTCTCATTAAATTTCATACTTGGCAGTGATTATTTGTATATGTATAACTAATACATAAATTGTATTTTCATTTTTATTAAATATTGTGAATGTCCACACTCATCCAATTTTACTAGTGAATTTATTTCTAAATATTAAGACTGGCTCTTGCACTGATATTTATTTTTTATTTGATGAAATCAATTACATTGCAGCACAGTAAATGTAAAATCGTTACCTCCTCATACAAATGAAGCAGTACATTAGAACATTGATTATCAAAACTAATTGGGACTAGATTTGGTTTGTATAATAAAAATAATTCTGATAACTTAACACTCTCATGGAAAGGTTGCATCAAAGAAGTTAGAGCATAGAACACAATATATTATATATTATTACCTTAAACGCAAAAGGGACTTTATTTAGCAATTTTCCACACTTAAAAAAATGTTACCAGTGTTGTGCAACAGGTGGGCAGTAATAGTAATAGTCATTTTTAAAAAATCGGAACAGTTTAGATAATCAGCATTCTACGGTATTGTTTTTTTAATTTTGAATGATTTCTCTGAATCAGGAGTTGCCAACCCAAATGGCTTATTCTGCCCTAAATCTTCTTGCAATCTGCACATGGCAACATGCCAATGGTGTTAGTGTGCACAGTTCTCATTTGTTAGATTTCTTTAACATGTCTAGTATTACTATGGAGCAAGAAAAGATGGATAGAATCCAAAATTAACTTTTAATATTTAAATAAATTGTTAGATTTAATCGTTATATTAAAATCCTTTTCAAAATAATAAAAATTGGATTCATTAATTTCAAATGTATGTTGCTTACAAGAATTAAAAGAAGCACAAATTGAATGAAGATAGAAAACGTTAACTTGTGATATATCTGGATGGCCGAAATATTTCATGTCCTTCTGCGGTAAATTATACAGGTCCAATATTATTTTTTAAATTGTCTCAAATTTTGTTTTATAAAGGAAGCTATTACCTTCTTTATGTTTGAGCCATTTTGCTACTGCAGGTTTTTCATTGGAAAAGGCATAAAAAATGTTTGCGATATTTTCATTGCTGCATGCATCAAGCTGATTTTAATTTTCATGTCATACTTTGCCTGTAACTAAATACTATTAAAGATAATGGGGAAAATATCATTAGTATTAATCTTATCACGTTTTAGAGATGATAAACAAGGTATAAAAATGTCTTGGTTACTTCATGAAACATTTTTTTTTTAAATTGTATAAATTACGCAATTGTTATTTTTGTGAATAAAATATGTAAAAAGTTCAGAAATTTGCTTTCTTGAGTTATACTTAATTCTAACTGTAGTAAGAAGGCCAGCCAGTGAATTGTTTGAAAAATAATGCAAATCAATACGTAGATCCAGCTCTGCCAGTGTTCTATTCTTAGTTGCTAAATTTGAAACATTTTTTATTTAACTTGCTCATACAAAAAAATCCCAGTTTTTGTGCACTGGTAGTGCTTTGTTTTCGAAACTGGGGAGAAAAATTCCTATTTCAAATTATCATACTTAAATTTGCACTTTATCTCAAAGTTTGAAAAAAAACTACTTTTACTATGGTCAATAATTAAACAAAAAGAAGCATCAAATCTATTGCAGTTATAAACTTTAATTTTTTTTTAAAGTCTCTTTGGGTTTTCCTTGCAGGATCCATGGATGTAAACAGACACTTAAAAATAATGTTTATCCAATCACTATTATTAGAAACTATGCATCTGTTTAACTAATATAAGCATTTTTCTGATACTAATGAAACCAGGAGATTTCATACTTGAAAATTAGATTTGTGACTAATGGCACTTTGGAGTTAACACCTTAGATTAGCGGTTCTCAACCGGTGGGTTGTGACCAATGTTCCCTGTAAGCTGCGCGATCTCACAGACGCTGCGCAGCAGTTTTGAGTACAGCGCAGCAAATTTCCATGTAAGTGTTTGTGGGCTGTAAAATTTTGCACACAAAAAAAATTGATGCTGTAAAACTTTGCACACGACTATGATTTTGCACATGAACCAACAAACCTTAGAGGGAACATTGGTTGTAACCCCTTTGGGGGTCAAACGACCCTTTCACAGGGGATGCCTAAGGCCATCGGAAAACAAACACTCTACAGTTATGAAGTAGCAACAAAAATATTTTTGTGATTGGGGTCGCCACAACATGAACTGTATTAAAGGGTCACTGCATTAGAACAGTTGAGAACCACTACCTTAGATGATCTGATAACAAGCAACATAAATGGGCACTTTGATGTCATATAAAGTATATATCAAAGTAGCCAATATCAATTGTTTTCTTTTATTTTTATAATACCCATTTAGCTTGAAATCAATGAAAGTATTAAGACAAACCATTTCAATGTGAAAAAATATTTTTAATCCAAATTTGTTTTTAAAAATACAAGGATATGTCGCATTCCAAAATTATACTTTGACTAAATAGTTGCATCAACAATCATTGATTAATTCCAATATATTGGAAACCACATTCACAAAAACTTTTATTTTGATCTGCTAGATCTAATTAAATGCATTCTAATAAACTGACATGCCCTAATGCAAACTATAATAAAATTGGTGACCTTATTTTCAAGGTCTCGCTAGTTGCAAATGAAAGATTTCGTTGAAGCCTGTTAAAAAGTTTTTGAAAATGTATTATAAATCTATTTAAAAGTTCTTTTTTTGCAATCGGTTCGAATTCAGGAGAAATGACAAAAACATTTTTTATGGTTAAAAAGGTTCTCAAGTCATTTAATATAGATGACCTAATAATCACTAGTGTACAAAATATATAATCAAAAAACAAGAATAGATGATCTGTTACAATGAGATTGCTGCATAATAAACATACATCAAACAATTGTATGCCAGGTTTCATCACAGTCTTTTATTTGCCATGTTCACTAAAACTTTTCTCTCCAGGTCAAATGTATACTGAAAGAAGAAGAGGAAAATACCAAGAGTGTCATTTTTTACTTTTCTTTGGGGTCATTTAATTTGAACAATCATTTAAATAAGTGATACAAATTATATAAACTCAGAGCTATTTTTTTCAAAATTATAATAGCTTGATCCTGTCCCTAAAATAGGCAGACAACCAGCTTTGGTTTAAATGGGTCAATATAAATTATAAAGAACTGTCCTCTTTAAATTTATTAAGTAGGAGAAAAAAAATGCCCCCTCCAAAAAATAATGTATAAAATCCAAAAGACCTTATGTAAGATTGCTTTACTGCAGGCATTTCTCAACATGTCTATCTTATTCTCTTAATAAGTTTACATGGCATTGTAATGAATCTCTCCTACAAGATAAGTTTTTAATTTCTATTTATAAACACAATTCATTAGTGATAAATATTGAGGTGGGTTTTCGGGTATTTTAATCTCTGCAAGTTGCAGGTTAAGCTTTTAAGTCAAATGTTTAAATCTGCTGTAAATTTGAACTTTACGGAAAACATTATTTTGATTGGTATTTTTATTATCACTTCGGAAAATTACTCATAAATCAATTTTGCATTTCAAATAACTTACAGGAAAACCTCCATCAGGCACCCTTGAATACTCTAGATGAAGATTATCAATCTGGGTGGGAGGATACATAGTATACAAATTAGATCCCCTCTGATCTCACCATGCATTTGTTTTTAAAAAAGACAGCCAAGTCACTGAACTGAAATGGTTTACCTCCTCCACTGCAAAGGTATGTGGTAGTTACTGCCTTTCCTAAAATCATAACAAGCAGAAATGATGTCTTGTGGAGTTTTGTGTTTATTGCCTTTGTCTGTTTTGTCTTTTTCAGGTTAGAGGAAATCAACATTAATTAGTTTTATAGCTCCATAAGAATGGCCAAGAAAATTGCAAGTACCAGCAGGGCCAATGGGGGTGGGGTGGAGTGGGCACTGGCCCCACACACCAAGGTGACACCAAAGTTGTCAAACATTGAAAAAATCTGAAACATTATATAGGTGTGTGTGTATTATTTATTTAAACTAAATAAAAAGGAAGGAGGCATTGTCAGGCTCTACACTGGGCATAAATAATCCTTCCCAAAGTCCTGAGTACTAGTATGGCATACTACAAACAATCCTTCTAAAAAACATAAGAACAGTTCTTCATGGTGATTGCCTTAATCTTAAATTTGTTAACGTCAAGATAAACAGATACAATTCAGACCTATTCTGGCAGGTCAACATGTAAGGGTACTACTGTTAGTTTACCTGGTATAAAGAGCTCTGCAATCCTTTTGTGTAATGAAATTTGTCAGATAACTGAAAGGGTACTCCTTCAAGTTCTAAAAACCCATGCCCTCTTCCAACTGAAAATAAAAAAATATTCAGTCTAATTTAGGCAAACAGAAATGTGGCTTTGGTAGAAATAATTGTGTTAGTGTTCTATATATATATAATTTTTATATTGATAAAACCAATAGTCTAAGTGGTAAATTTGCTAAAGTTTACTTTACAAAACAAACATTTTTGATAATGA